TTTTTTTTTTCAACTCAAGCGATGAACAACGAAGGTCGCTTTACCCGCAACTTTTTGGCGACCACCGTGTACGGAAGCACAAGCTTCGCTTCTGACTGATTTATCACATCCCTGGTAGCAAAAATGGTCATCACGCAGCGTCTGTTGCTATCATAGTGTCGATAGAAAGAGAATTTACAACTCCTGTGCAACACCCGAGCATTTTGCGTCCCAAATTCTTCACGCCAATTCCACGTATTACTTTTGATATTGCGACGTTCCGTTCTCCCCTTACTTCTTCACTATATTATTTTCAGCATCGTTGGAACAAACGCGACGTTCAAGCAAGGTCAGTAGAACAACGGCAGGTTCGTCAGCTTCGAATGCGTTGCTGAAACAGGCGATAGCGAATCGTCTGAAACCACAACTTAATGAAAGAAGCTCCGCACAATGTAAGACATCTGCTTATGAAAGCGTGCGCAGTGGAAATTCAGCTAACGAACTGAGTGGCGAAAAGGATAGCGCAGATGAGGAGAAGACGAAAGTGAAGGAGAACTTGATAACACCGAGTGAGACGAAACTATCTAGCCCTGGTTTGCATCTCAGCGAAAGTGTAATACCAGACTCTAAAAAGAGCACACCATCTTCGCATTTGAATGGAACTGACGAGCATTCACCTGAAAAGCTTGGAGCTCACGCAAACTTGCCTGATGTAACCGACAAAACTTTGGCGAGGAGCTCGCGAAAAAGTATGCATCAAAGAGCATTCGCAGTGACAGGCCCCAATACTGATTCCGGTGAAGTGCAGCATCACGAATATAGTAGTGGAAGAGCTACCCACAGTGGAAGCATCTCGTCCTCAAGCGACTATCAAACGTCCTTAGGAGGAGAAGAAGCGGCTGATGTCACAACTCCGGAGGACAACATTAGCTCATCCAGGAGAAATTCTTCCATCGTTTCTTCGATCGACTCACCGCACGCCTCTTCCCACAAAAGTGTCACTTTCGATGATCGAGTTCAGTTACATGAAATAGAGCGAAATGAAGCTATAGATAGTGACGAAGATGAGGAAGAGCCCACAGAGGAGCACACATTCGAAAGCTATGCAAGAAAGCAGTTCGAACAGCTGTCGAGGTCTCAATTTGAGCTGGAACAGGAGGATCTAAGCGAGGAGTCAGATTTGAATGAGGCTAACGTAGATCAGCGTTTCGCAAACTATCGAGCTTCTCCTGTATATATGATGCGCTCAGGCACTCCATCCTCATCAGAAGGAAGCTATCAAAGCTCCTTAGTTGAACTTTCGATGCCAGACCAATGTGATGAGAATTTCAGTACTGCACGTCTTGACAACACAGACTATGTGGCTCACGGAGGAGTAGACGCTTCTGTTCAAGTGTCATACATTAATAGCCCATTATTATTGACGAAGAATGCAGACGCATCTACAAGCACCGAGCGCCTGCGCGAAACTCCTGAAAGTTGGAGACGAAGTTTCCACGGCTATGACGGAAGTGATCAAAACGAGTTAGAGCAGGCCAAGTACGATCGTCGCGGTTCTTGTGGGTACGGACAGTTGGAGACATCTCCAAAAAGAAGAGCTCACCATGCCCCTCTCGAGCGCGATGACATTGATTCGTTACAAATGAGAAGAGAACTTGTGTACGAGGGTAATGAGGATCCATCACTTGCTGGTTCACGATCGTCAGACGAAGAGAGAGGAGCTGGTCGGACACTTACAGAGGAGGAGATACGCGCAAGATTCTTGGCTAATTTTGCGAAACGACGCCATGACTCAGTAGAAGAAGATCCCTGTGATCCTGTACATACGATGGGCTCACGTGACTCCATGGTATCCTCCGGTTCCAGAGAATCGGTAGTTTCGTCTGTGTCTATCGGAAAGGAAGCGTTCACACACAGAAATTTTTTATATTGAGTGGCTTGATTTCGTTTTTGTACATTTCTGGTGCAGAACTTACCTCGCGTGATTTCGCTCTGGCATAGATGAGTGAAAAATCACTTTCGATTTTAACACGTTGACGACCGAGCCATTTTGAGCGAAACTC